GTCAAGTTGAACAGATGTGAGTGACATGGGGATTCACCCCTTGTGATTGGAGTCTGCAGCACAGAGGGCTGGGGAGGGTCTTATAGGACCGAGTCCTTAACATATGGGGCCTGCACTAACTCCAGGCAGTTGGTATTAGAACTGAGTTAAACTGGCCGGGCTCGGTGGCTTAGCCTGTAATCCCAGCACTTTGGGAGGCCAAAGTGAGTGGATTGCCTGAGCCCGCAGGTTCAAGACCTGCCTGGGCAACTTGACGAGACCTCATCTCTACAACAAATCAAAAATTAGCCGGGTGTGATAGCGTGCGCCTGTAGTTCCAGCTACTTGGAAGGCTGAGGCAGAAGGATTGCCGGAGCCCAGCAGGTCAAGGCTGTGGTGGCCGGGAGCGGCCACTGCACTCCAGTCTGGGTGACAGAGTGAGACTCCAACTTAAAAAAATAAAAAAAGAACTGAGTTAAACTATAGGACACCCAGTTGTTATCTGCTGGAGAACTGGATTGAACTATTGAGGAAAAAACCCACCACATATTTGGTGACAGTGAAGTATTGTATGGATAGAGAGCAATGAGGAAACAGGATTTCCTTTAAGGTGGTACACACATACAATGAAATATTATTCAGCCTTTAAAAAGAAGGAAATCCTGTAGCATGAGGCAACATGGATGAACATTGAAGACGTTAGGCTGAGTGAACTAAGTCAGTCAGAGGAGGCAAAAACTGCATGATTCTCATAGAAGCAGAGAGTAGAATAGTGGTTGCCAGGGGCAGAGAGATTCAGGAAACAAGAAGTTGCTAACCAAGGGGGATAATGTGTAGGTAATGCAAAAGGAATATTTTCGAGAGATATACTGTGCAACACTGTGGTTATATGATATTGCACACATAAGACACTTCAGAGGCTAGATCAGTTAGCAGGGTCATAAGTGTTCTTACCACAATATAAGTTACAACAAAACAAAACAGTAGAATAGAACTACAGTATAATCATACAATGGAGTGTTTTACAGCAATAAAAAATTTATTAAAACTTTACTTTAAAGTTGTAAAGATTATTTTTAAAAATCTTTAAATATTCTATCTAAATATGAAAGAATCTCACAATGTTAAGCCAAACAAGAAACACACAGAATACATATGGTATCATCCCATTTATAGAATTCAAAACCAGTCAAAACTAAACTGTGTATTTATAGAGGCATAGATAGAGGTAAACTATAACGACAAGAAAATTATCACAAAAATCAAGAGAATAGTCATCTCTAGTGTAGGAGGTATGATGAGGAAGGTACACGTCTAGGGTACTTCATTCATGTTCTATTTCTTGATCTGGATGATGGTTATGTATAAATATGATTTTATAATTAGTCTTTACATTTACTATTTATACAATATAATTTTAGTGTATAATTAAACTTTATAATATTTTATAACTATCCTTTTTTTTTGAGTGTGGGAGCTTCTCTGTCCTCTCAATAAATCTGGTTTTCTCACTAAAAAAAATAAAAATGAAAAGAAAAAAGCAAAGCACTAAATCATGAATACATTATGTAGTTATAGCTACCTAAGAAATCTGTATTGCTTAATCCGGCTAGCTAATTTTGTACCTAAAATTTTGAATGAACTCATGAAAAATAAAAGTAGCTGACGTGTCTGAAAGATGGAATTATGACTGCAAATTTTTTTCCAAGTTTCTTTTTTTTCTTTTTTAATAGAGACAAGGTCTTGCTATGTTGTCCAGGCTAGTCTTGAACTCCTGGGTTCAAGGGATCCTCCTGTGTCAGTCTCCCAAAGTTGGCATAAGACACTGCACCTAGCATAATTGTAATTTTTTTGATGTTGAGAATGTTTCAATAAAATACAGGAATTTTTAAACAAAGTAAACTCAATAGTTCCTTGTCATTCTAGAGGACTAAGTCCATATGTTATAACTCTAAGATCTTCTGCACTCTGACTTTGATGTGTATTTTTCTTTTCTTTTTGAGATGAAATCTCACTCTGTCGCCCAGGTTAGAGTGCAGTGGCACACTCACGGCTCACTGCAACCTCTACCTCTTGGGCTCAAGTCATCCTTCTGCCTCAGCCTCCTGAGCAGCTGGGGCTAGAGGCACATGCCACCATGTCTGGCTAATTAAAAAAATTTTTTTGTAGAGACAAGGTCTTGCTATGTTGCCTAAGCTGGCCTTGAACTCCTGGGCACAAGCAATCCTCCCGTCTCGGTCTCTCAAAGTGCTAGGATTACAGGCATGAGCAACCACACGCAGCTGATACGTATTTTTCATTCAGCTAGTATTTACTCAGTGACTATTCTGTGCCAGGCCTCATGATAGACACTGAAGTACAGGGATGAGCAAGACATAATTACTGCTTTCAAGGAGCTTCTAGACTAGGAAGCAGAAAATAGGTATGTCAACAAACAATTATAGTGCAATGAGATAAGTCTGACAATGAAGTCTTTTCTTAAATGTCTATGGACTCTCAGATGAAGGAAAAACAGAAAAACCATGGCAAAGCTTTTCAAATAACACAGACTTGAATCTTGAACAAATAAATGAAACTTCCAGACAGGACTCAGGTTGTAAAGAAAAGTAGTCTATGCACTATTTGTACAAAGGCTGAGGCAAAACAGATTGCTAGAAGGCCTCAGGTATCAACCTAAGGAGTTTAGAGTTTATGCTATAGGTAAGGGAAAAGGCCTCAAATTTCAGCACTAAATTTCCAGGATTATTTAGCAATCACCTTGGATTTCTTTGTTCTATTCTTTCTTCTCTTAAAAGAAATATAGGCTGGGTTCAGTAGCTCAACCTGTAATCCCAGCACTTTGGGAGGCCGAGGCGAGTGGACTGCCTGAGCCCGCATGTTTGAGACCAGCCTGGGCAACTTGATGAGACCTCGTCCCTACAATAAAATAAAAAATAGTCGGGTGTGGTAGCGCGCTTCTGTAGTTCCGGCTACTTGGAAGGCTGAGGTAGAAGGATCGCTGGAGCCCAAAAGGTCGATGCTTGGATGGCCGTGAGCATGCGTGCCACTGCCCTCCAGCCTGGGCAAAGGAGTGAGACTTCAACTCAAAAAAAAAAAAAAGAAACACACACACATAAAGGGTGGGCGCAGTGGCTCACACCTGTAATCCCAACATTTTGGGAGGGATAAATATATATATAAATTCAAAGATCTAGATCTTTTAACTTCAAATATTTCAAACATAGATAAAAATACAGAAAATAGAATGCTATCCATGCACCTAACTACATTTAAGAAGTTAAATTCAGTCCTATTTCTCTCTCTTAAAGGCATAAAACACTGAAAATCCCATTAATTCCCTTTAGCTCTTCTCCAGCGCCCCTAGGTAATACCAGCTCTCCTACAGTGAATATGGAGAATTTTCCTGCATATTGTTCTTTTACTACACATCTAACACTATGGTCTTTGTATAATTTTTTTAACTCTTGGTTTTCTCATCAGTCAAATGAAGGCAATAGCTCTCTCCATATTACTGTTAGGGTTGTAAATTATATGTATAAGGTGCCTATCATGGTGACAGGCATTGAAAGTGACACAAGACCCACAAATTTCATTTCCTCCTAGTAAACTAGAAGCTACTTTCGGACAGTATAGCAGCTCAGCTAACAAAATGTTGATTCAATTTAATTCTACTTACTATTCCTTAAACAGACACTTTTGCCTCTCCCTTCTCCACTGTCTGATCTCTCACCCAGTCTCTCCCATTCATACCCTTTAATCTTGACAGTGGCACAGGAATGCTATGTATCTACACTGATGGCACCAGGAGCAGTCAGGCACCTGCTCCATCCCACCCATTAGGTGCCTAAAGCTGTGTGACCTAAGGGCAGATGATGGTATGGGGGAAAACCTTGATGCTTTGGGGTCAGGCAGCTCTCAGATCAAATCCTGTCTCTAGCACTTAATCACCAAGTGCTGTTTCAGCACAGAGACAATCTCGGTGCTTCAATTTCTCCATGTCTAAAATGTGGACAATTTCACTCTCTTCTCTGGGAAATGATAACTATGGACTGGGTACCCTTTGAAGCACTTATTGCATATATAAAGTCGTTTAGTCCTAACATAGACTCCAGGAAGTAAAATAAATCCACTTCCCCCAAATGACACGAAAACCAGGGCACTTAGTATTTATGTGGGGAGAGCACCGAGCCAGTATGTGAAAAAGCCAGAATTCGAACCCAGGCAATCTGCTGCAGTTTTGCTGTCTGTTTTTTGTTTTGCTGGAGCTCGGCACGGCCACCGCAACTTCCACCTGCTGGGCTCAGGTGATCTTTCTGTTCAGCCTTCCAAGTAGCTGGAACCACAGGCACGCGCTACCATGCCCGGTTAGAGATTTTTTTTTTTTTTTTAATTGTACAGACGAGGTTTCACCAAGTTGCTCAGACTGGTCTCGAACCCCTGAGCTCGGCAATCCTCTCGACTCGGCCTCCCAAAGAGCTGGGATTACAGACTTGAGTTACTGCGCCCGGCCCACTTGGTTTTGCTGGGGTAATGTGAAGTTACAGTGGTAAGATAATGAGTGCCAGGTACTTGGCACACAGTAGACACTCAAAAACAATAGTGGCCTGGCTCATGATTGTGGAAGGCCATAGAAAAAGTACAAAGTGCTTCGATTTTCCTTCAGGAGAGAAATGGAGGTAGTGCCAGAGGTCTCGGCTGAGACTAAGCGGTGACTGCTCTGTGCCAGGCATCATGTTAGGGACTGGAATACATGAGCAAGAACATAATAGGTTCTAGCCCCGCTCTGCCATCGACGCCCCTGACGACTCTGGCACAGTTCTCCCCTATCCCGGGCCTCAGTTTCTCCATCTGGGAACGTATTTGTGTCTCTGTTCTCCTTTCAAGATGCTCGCCAGACGAGAGACTCAGCGAGCCTAGGCGAACCGGGGCGGGCAACGGAGGAACCCCACGCTGGGCCCGGCCGCCGGGAGCAGGGTCAAGTCAAGGTTGACAGGCCGGGTAGCTCTGCGCGCTGCACTCACCTCTCACGCACACTACAAGTCGGCGGAACCAGGATCCAAACCCGCGCGCCGCAACCACCACCCAGGTGCCGAGCGCGAGCTAACTTCGCGCCGGAAGCCAACAGATTCCGATTGGCCGAGTTCCTGAGGCAGCCGACCAATACCGACGCTCTCTGACACTTGTTCCCGCCCCTTCAGGTTGCTGGGGCCGGGTCGCCGTACGGCGCTGGGAGGGGCACGTATTCCCAAAGCCCAATCAGAGCCCGGAAAGGAAGGTCAGGTGACTACTTCCACTCCGGGACTTCCGGCGCTGTTTGGGTCTTTGTTTTTGGTGTATTTCTCAGCGTTAGTAAATGCCTTAAATGACACTAGCTGCGGGAACATGAGCTATGGTGAGGATGAAAGACCCCGAAGCTTGAGGGGAGCTGAGACTTGCCAGTTCCTCCAGGCCAGGCCAAGTCTCTGCGCCCCCGACGCTTGGCTCCGACAGTTTCTCTCTTCGAGACTTTGTTGGTCTCTCCACTCCCGCACAACGCTGGCCTCTAAACCTAACCCGTATTCCTTTACGGGAGCAGATACAAATTGTCATTGACAGGAGGAAAGGTTACGCAAACTCAGATGCTTCCGGGAACTTCTGCAATACCTGAGAAGCCATACTTCGGTCACATTCGATTGTTGCCACGCAGAAACGTGGGCCCCGTAATGTCAGATCTTTCTTTACTTTCCTTCCTTCCTCTCTTCCCTCTCTTCTTCCTTTCCGTCCTCCCTCCCTTTCTGCTTTCCTGTCTTTTAAAAAAATACTGAAAATCGACTCCTGTTTTATTTGGGGCTTTTTTTGGTTTGTGAAATCTGCCGAGTTTTCAAATGTTGGAAACACAAAACGCTGCCACGCATAAAACACATCGTTGTTAAGTTACTCCTCATGCTACCTTTCTCTACAGGAAAAAGCAAAAACAGAGTGAATTAAGCCGATTTTTAATAGCAAAATGTCTAGGAAGAAGCGAGATAGAAACAACGTAAAGGTATGAGCAATCTACCAAAAAAGCCGCTAACACAGGCTCAAATGGCAGCACCACAGTGATAAGCGAGATACTAACAACTCAATGAGGGGTGACCATTCACCTGAACTTACCTGTGTCTCACACTGCCTTAACTCTCCTATTGCCTTTTTTATTTTATTTTTATTTTGAGTCTCATTCTGTCGTCCAGGCTTGATTGCAGTGGCACACTCAATGGCCACCGCAGCCTCGACCTGTTGGGCTCAGGCAATCTTTCCACCTCAGCCTTCCAAGTAGCTGGAAGTATAGGCACGCGCCACTAACCCCAGCTTTTTTTTTTTTTTTTTTTTTACCATTTATTGTAGAGGCCAGGTCTTGCCAAGTTGCCCAGGCTGGTCTCGAACCCCTGGATTCAGAAAATCCTCTCGCCTGCGCCTCCCAAAGTGCTGGGATTACAGATGTGAGCCACCGTGCCTGCTTCCTATTGCTTTTATCTTCACTGTACTTCAATGTTGTGCCCTTCTCCAGTGCCAGCCATTGTGCTAGGTCTTGTGGAACTCATTCATGAAGTGCATATTCTGTAGAAGGGGAGGACAGGTACACTAATAGTGTCGATCAAGTGATAAGAATATTGATTTGTTATGGGAGCACCCAGAAGGGATATAAGCATAGATTTATTTGGTATGATTTTGGAGGCAAAGGCCAGTAAACTGGAAAGACTATAAGGCACCTTTGAGGAAATGTCATGAAAATAGAAATTAGGGAGAGATGATACATGAGAGGAAATGGCACCAAATCCAAGTTTACTCTTCACCTTAAAGCTAAATGGAAACTGTTGGAAGTCCTTTATTGGTTTCAGTGGGAAAGGCAGGGCAGGGAAGGGAACGAGTTTAGTATTGGCTAGTTTGAATAATTCTGCAGACTTCGGGGCACAGAGGCTGTCCCTGGTTGTCTGATACCTAGCACTGGGTTAATTTAGGCAGGGGAAATATTGGCTTGGTGTGTGAGGGTTAGGTAAAGGAGGTAGTTAGAGGTATAAACTTGGGACTAGTTGGAGGATACGTAATATTTCAGCACCCACAAAATCAAGATCATAGGGAGATGGCTGTTGGTTTGGTCCTTTGATTAAAGGATGCCAAATAGACAAATACAGAATCTAAGAAAAACACGGAACAGTCCCTCTCCACCCTGGTGCATTTTCCAAGTGGCCAATTCCCAGTCCATATGTGGCCTCACCTACATGTGTTTGGCATAAAATAGCAGCTTTCAGGCATGAAAGCACCAAAAAAACGGAGACGACAAAAATACCACCTTTTGCAATAGACATCTGTCATTTTGGCCTGTGTAGGACATTATACTTACAGCGCCTTCAGGTGAGCTACCATTCCTAACTCTCAGTCTTGGAGACTCACGGCCATATGGGACTGCCTTCTCGAGCTTAGGGTTCCAGTGCTGGACACGTGACTTGATTCTGGCCAATCAGCACATGCCATTGGTTTGGCCTTGGTGATTGGTTCAAGGATGAGCCTATGACTCCAGCTAGCCCAATGAGAACCCTCCCCAGTACGTTCCCTAGAATTTACTGGGAATGTGGGAACTAGGTGTGACCTTTCTGTTGGGATTATCAAACTGTTAGGATGTCTCCCTGGAACTGGGACTGGAAGGGAGTACCAAGTGATAGAGGGTCGGGGAAACTGCCTTAGAATAAAGTCACTGTAGAGGAGAGAGTAGGCAAGAGAGGGAAAGAAATTGAATTCTGATGTAATTGTTTGAAGCCCTGGACCCTGTGGTGCTGTCAGCCACGTCCTGGACTTTTCAGTTACATGAGCCAATTAATTCCCTCTCATACTTAAAAAAGAAAAAAAAAAGCAATGTGCAAAACTGGGCATAGTATGCCCCTGTCAGAGTAGAAAAGAGGGGGAAAATAATGTTAATACGTATCAGCTTGCATATTCATCAAAAGTTTTCTAATAACTAGGAAGCTAATAATCATAGATACCTGTTGGGGGATAAGAACCGCATAGACGGAGGAAAGAGTTATAGAAAGACTTTATTGTATGCCCGTTAATATTTTTTGACATTAGAACATGTGAGAATGTTACCTTTACATAACATTAAATACAGACTTTTAATGAGACCTAGGGGTTGCAATGGTATGTTAATAAGGCTTAGGAAGAACAAATCCTATTATATAAAATACATTGAACTTTCAAAGTACTGTGCTACTGAGATAAGTATATTTACACTCCCAACCAATCAGGAGCAAAGTAAACAAAGAACGTTGTTCAGAGGCCAGGTAGGTGGAGAAAGATCTTAATTAAACTTAAAGTTATGTACAGTCTGCCTTTTGTTATGTTTTCTAAAAAGATGCAAGAAGCTGTCTGAATTAGTCTATGGTGACTACAAAGTTCTTCCCAGAATATACAGTGTTATTTACATGGAACTTATGCTTCTGAGTAAGATACAGTAGGTATCAGTAGGTGGTCGTCATTCCTACTGCAACAACTAGAAAAACAAACAAAAGCACACAAAAAAGAATAAATTATACAAATCCTTTTTTTTTTGAGTTGGAGTCTCACTCTGTCGCCCAGACTGGAGTGCAGTGGCTGCTCCCGGCCACCACAACCTCGACCTGCTGGGCTCCAGCGATCCTTCCGCCTCAGCCTTCCGAGTAGGCGGAATTACAGTCATGTGCTACCACGCCCGGCTGATTTTTTGATTTATTGTAGAGATGAGGTCTCGCTGCCCAGGCAGGTCTCGAACCCGCGGGCTCAGGCAATCCACTCACCTCAGCCTCCCAAAGGCGTGGGATTACAGGCTGAGCCACCGAGCCCAGCTTATTTTTTTTTTTTTTGAGTTGGAGTCTCACTCTGTCACCCAGACTGGAGTGCTGTGGCATGCTCCCGGCCACTGCAGCCTCGGCCTGCTGGGCTCCGGCGATCCTTCCACCTCAGCCTTCCAAGTAGCTGGAACTACAGGCGCACGCTACCACGCCCGGCTAATTTTTTGATTTATTGTAGAGATGAGGGCTCACCAAGTTGCCCAGGCAGGTCTCAAACCTGTGGGCTCAGGCAATCCACTCACCTCAGCCTCCCAAAGTGGGGGATTACAGGCTGAGCCACCGAGCCCGGCTACAAATCCTATTTTTAATGACACCAGATTGCAGTGGGAGCAGAGAACGAAGAGTCCATTCTAGGTGAACTGGAATTGTTGGTCATTTTTTTTTTTACCCTGGGAGCATTTGCCAAGTCTGGGCATAGGCTGAAGATTGGGCTTGGTTTATGGTGAACTTTTGTGGTAGCTTAGGCAATCATTACAGACTAGAAGCCTGGGGTATGATGCTCTTTCCTGTGAGATATTTGCTGAGTGCTGGTCTAAACTGGGGTTGGAGAACTGAGTTTGGGGTCTGGCCTGGAAGGGCAGAGTAAGAACTGCAGTCTCTTAGTATTTGGAAGATGAGCCCCCTAGTAGGGAGGGGACTGCAACACACATGACAGGTCTCATCTTCAAGATCACTAAAAACGGAGGTGGACTGAACCAAACTAGGGCTGCAACTCACTGGAACTCAGCTCAATTCCTATTGTATTGAGATATCATTCCTTGAAACTACATTGTCTAACAAAATAACAGGGCAAATCCCCAGGGGAAAAATTTGATCAACTTCACCATCTTAAGTTCTTTTATATACAATATTTGGCATACAATACAAAAAATTACAAATCATAGAAAAAGGCAGATATGGTAGGCCGAATAATGGCCTCCAAATATATCCATATTTTAATCCCTTGAACCTGTGAATGTGTTACCTTACAGTAAAAGGGACTTTGTGGTTGTGATTAAATGAAGGACCTTGAGAGGGGAAATTATCCTGACTTATTTGGGTAGTTCCCAATATAATCACAAGTGTCATTATAAAGGGAAGCCAGGCAGATCAGAATGAGCAGTAGGAGATGTGCAGACACAAGCAAATCAAGGAAAGAAGTCACAAGACAAGGAATGCAGGAGGTATCTAGAAGCTGAAAAAGACGAAACATTTTCCCCCAAAGCCTCCAGAAGGACCCAACCCTGCTAGCACCTTGACTTTAGCCTAGTGTGATTGATTTTGGACTTCTGACCTCCAGCACTGTAAG